CTACCCCTGCGGACTGTTTCTTCATACAGCAACACGTGCTGACCTACCTCTAATTTAAATGGTTCTGTCCCCTTGTCATACTGTTCCTTGCTCTTTTCCTTGTGTAAGATTATTTTCTGTCGTGCCACTTCGTGTGCAATATGTAGTCTCCCCTTTTAGCTCCCTGAGGTAGTCCTCGTAATCGTACTGTATGCTGGGACTATCTCTTAGTGCGCATGGCACTTCTGACTTGAATCCATATACCAGTTCGAATGGTGTGAGTTCGGTAGCAGTATGTGTAGTTGTGTTGTACACGTAAACTGCATACGGCACAAATTCATCCCAGTTACGCTGATCTTTGCTTACATAGTGGCGGAGGTACTCCGCCAGAACTCTATGACTTCTCTCTAAACTACCATTGGACTCCAGGTGAAATGCTGTGGTCTGCAACTTTCTGATCCTTAGTAACTTGCAAACGTTCTTGAACAAACTACTCAGAAAGTTTGACCCTTGGTCAGTCAGAATTTTGGCAGGTGCCCCAAATTTCAAAACAATATTCAATACGAGCGCCCTAGTGACAGTTTCTGCATCTTGCTGCGGAAGCGGTGTCACTACTATGAATTTACTAAGTTCATCTTGGAATGTTAGTATGTATTTATTTCCTTATTCACTCTCTACCAACGGCCCTACGATATCCAAGGAACATTTCTCAAAGGGATGACTTGCTGTTGTAGTTATTTCCATAGGAGTTTTCTTTTTCACCCTGAGTGCTTCATTCAGCTGACACTTAGTACACTTTCTCACATACTCCTCTATTTCTTCCTTTGTATTCGGCCAATATTAATGCTGTCTAATCGCCTGATATCTCTTATTCATACCACAATGACCCCCGAGAATTGAATCGCGGTTTTCATGCAATATTTTGCCCTTCATCTCCTCATCTATTTCCTCCGAGTCACTCACCTCCCTGTTAAGAGCACCTATTCTAGATAAAGCATCTGTGATTGAATTTTGTGATCCAGGTTTATATACTACTTCACAGTCGTATTCCTCGAGTTGCAGTCACCACATAAGCAATCTCGAACCCGGGTCTTTCACGCTCATGATCCAGGTTAGGGGTTTGTGATCACTTAGAACCTTGAACTACCTACCATACAAATATGGCCTGAAATACTTAATTCCCTAGACAATGGCTGCTAATTCTTTCTCCACCATACTGTAGTTCTTCTCGGCTTTGTTGAAGCTGCGACTTGCATATGCAGTTGGTCTGTCTTTACCTATCTCTCCCTGAGACAGAATCCCCCCTGCACCTTTGTTTCATGCATCAGTGGTCAAGATAAATTCCCTGGAGAAATCAGGGTACTGCAAGATTGGTTGTGACATTAGCTTCTGCTGTAAGCTTTGAAATGCATTTTCCTGCTCTTCCTCCCATTCATACTTAGCGTCCTTCTTCAAGAGTCTGTGCAGTGTAGCTGCTATTTTGCTAAACTGAGGGACAAACCTCCTATAGTAGCCTGCTAGCCCAAGAAAACCTTTCAATTGTTTAGCTGTTTTCAGAGTAGGGAAATTTTCAATCGACTCTGTCTTCTTGGGGTCGGATCAAACCCTGTCCTCTGAGATTACTTGACCGAGGTAACTGACCTCCTTTCTTAAAAATTCGCATTTGTCCCGCTGGAGCTTCAGACTATAATTCCTCAGCCTCCCAAACATGGTACGCAAACGTTCTCTGCTAAGCTATTTACATATAATATGATATCATGCAGGAAGACAAAACATTTTGTGCCTGTGAGGCCACTTAAAGACGGTGTTCATGAGTCTCATGAACGTAGCAGGTGCTGTCCAGAAGCCAAAAGGCATTTTCCAGTACGCCCAGTGCTCCTGCTTCGTACTGAACATCGTCTTCTCTATATCACTCGAGTCCATATCTATATGGTGGTAACCCATGGATAAATCTAGACAGGAAAAGTATTTAGCCTGTCCTAGTTAGTCTAGAATCTCAGTGATACCCGGCATAGGATAAGCATCTCCTACTGTCTTCTCGTTTAGCTTTCAGTCATCTACTACAAGCTGGAACTTTTGCTGGCCACTAGCATCCGCCTTTTTGGCTACCACCAAAATTGGACTGTTCCATGGCGATTACTTTCTTGAATGACTCCTTCCTTCAATAATTTCTCTACCTGTTTCTCCACTTCCACTTTATGGGTTTCAGGAAGTTTATAGGGTCTCATGTTTATTGGATCGGTCCCTGGCTCGACACATATGGAATGTCGCATTGCCTGCATGCTACTTAAAATGTCTCCCAACAAATAGAACACGTCTTGATAATCTTGACACATCCCTATCAATAATCTCTCTTCTTCATCATTCAGATGCTCTAATCTCAGCTCTTCCAAGATTCTGTTTTCCCTATCCTTTTGCTTTTCTTCAGTTGCTCCCGAGGGATTCTGTACTGGTTCGGCTTCATTTAGTTCCACTAACGGCTCTTGAATTTCTGCCTCCTCGTTGTTTGTATTTAAAATGCTAGTTATCACATAACCGTCTATCACTTTGGTTAATGACCCTGCCATAAAAATTCCTTCTTGAATTCCACATTTCTCTAGGATCCCCACTAATGGCGACCCTTCCTTCACTGGTAGCTTGACAACACATTCCAATCTCCGTGGTAGGATTATGTTCCTGGTTTCGCACGTCTTTTCTGTCTTCGCGATTTCTGTTTGGTTAGCATTCACCATCTCGAGCATCTCCCCATTTAGCTTAACACATTGAGTGTCATAACATATTTGTGCTTTTGCATTTCAGAAGAAATCCCTTCCTAATATCCCGTCACAAGGAATATCTATCTGCCTATTTGCTAACTGAAACTCGTGCATAATTGAACTATTCTCGAGGTTAATCTGAGCCTCTATCGCTCCATGTGTTTCTATCAGGGAACCGCTTACACTTTTTCACCCTTACTTTTCTTTCTGGATCATATTCTGTCGAACCTATCAGTTTCTCTCCCTTCAGGACACTAATGTCGGCTCCAGAGTCTATGAGCAGCAACAACTCACCTGTCTTGCTAATGTTCACTCTTAGCTTGAGGAATTGGCAATCATTCCTCCCTATGCAGCATACTGAGTAGACTGGACTGTTGGTCGGCTGCCATTTCCCTGATGGTCCTGATTCCTTTCCCGAACTGTTACTCCCTGATTTCCCTTTATTACTGGTCTATCTGCCTTTTTCCTAGGCTTTGTACATTCCCGAGCTATGTGACCCTTTTCCAAACAGTTGTAACATACAATATCCCGACTGGGCCCTCGACTTTTGTGCCTTGCAGAAAAATGATTCACCCTTGTGTCCTTCCTGCCCTTAAGAAAGCACCTGCTTGTCACATGATTGTTCCTGCCACAATTACTGCATTTCAAATTATCCAAACCCATGTTTGGATATTTGTACCTCTCAGTCTTTGAAATTATAGCACTTTCCTCTTCCAAGGCTGTGTCGGCTATTTCATTGAAATTGTCGTGATTTCGACTCCATACAATTGTTTGTATTCTGTCTGAATACAGACTGCACAAATTAAATATTTCTTAACCCATCTGAGAGAGTTAAGATTCCGGCTCTCTCCTCTTGCTCGCAATCTTGCAAAACAGCTTCTCTAAATTTGGATCCAAGTTTCTGAATGTGCTGGATCCAATCAGACACACTCTTCCCCTTAGTTTGCTTGGTACTGAACAATTGATTAGCATTGTAATCTAGCGTTCTTTCCTAGTATACCTGTTCTTTAGAAACTCCCTTAATTCTCCCAAATTTTCCAAATTTCTGTGAGAAATTGTGGTTCTTGTCTCTCCGCTAATTCTCGCTAAACGAAACTTATACAAAGTGGTTGAGTTCCTAGGGTCAGTAACTTCAAATGCTGTGTCTACATTCGCTATAAAAGCAAAAACTTTCCTTCTTTGACCCTTGAAAGGAGTTATAAGCTTTAAAGCTTCACTGATTGCGACATATTCTGTCATAATGGCAGTACTACTATCTGCATTTACAACCTCAGTATCTAAATTTGGATACAGGTTAGGCATGGATTGAGCAAGCACTCACCCTTTCTGAAGTTCTCTGTACGCCTGCCGCGTAGATCGCTTGCAGCACGTTTGAGTCTGCCGTGTAGACCAACCACAATGGTATATGGACTAGCCCACACTACGGTACGCCCGTTGCCAATTCTCCGGCCTGGATCGACCCTCAATCCCAAACTGCCGCTACTGCATCCATGGGATGTAGAATCTTGACTGGAAGTTCCACAGTTCCCGCTGGCAGTTTCCCTGTTGGGATTCCTTCAGCTTTTCACACTCTTATCTTAGCACAGTTACAATTCCGTTTTCCAATACTTCACACACACACATGTGACATTGATGTGTTGGTACTGTTGCCAGTCTGCTGTTCAGGCACGTGCGCACACACACACACACACACACACACCACAACAACAACAACAACAACAACCCCACTTCTGACACCAGTGTTGTATCCCAGTATTTCAGGGATACTCAGGTTCGCCGAGTGGTGAGGAATTTGATGTATGGGGTTGGGATTCGGTGGAGAGACAACAGCAAGCAATTGGATTTAACAGTGCTATATTGTTAGAATAAGAGATGCTTGATGAAGTACATAGGCAGGCACTTTAAATATTCCCTACAAGGGGTGAGGCCGCAGTCCTGCTCATCTAACCCTTGTGACAACTGGAATCCAACTCTCCGTGACTTGCCTTCACCTCCAAGCTGCAGCCTGCCTTGTACCCCAGTCAGTCTGGGTTCTGCCCTTCACACGTGTGGAAGGGGAGGAGACCGCACACATATCTGTTTAGTCTACACATTGGTTGCGAGCTGGTCCACAGCTTGGAAAGAATATTTAAGGTGCCCAAGAAATACAAAATACAGTACACAATTATAAAAGTACTCACACTTCCACATATGCAATACTGTACTACTCTTAGTAGTCAGTGTTGTGAGGTGCTTGATTTGTGTTATGTATTCAAATTTCTATAGTTTCAGGAGGGAACTCTGTAAGCTGACCCTTCAGGCAGATACAATTTGTAAAGTGGTTCCTCATCGAATTTGCTCCATGGCTGTGCATCCAGCAGAGAATAATCTGCTTCTGGCTGTTGGAGATAAGTGGGGTAACCTTGGTATGTGCCAACACTGTCAATAGCTGAGGCTGTATAATCTAAAATGGTAGGATGATTTAATGAATATACAGGGTGCTATTGGAAAGTTCCAAGACTAGATCAAGAAAGAAATACTGACTAAACTTACTCAATTTTGGCTGCCGTCTCACTCAAAATAGTTTCCTTGGGAATGTATACAGTGATCCCATCTTTTTTTTTTCATTCTTCAAGAGCACCATGGAAATCATTCTCCTTAATGCTGTTGAGTACCGCTTGTGAATCCCTTTGGATGGCAGGTACTGTTTCAAAATATCATCCCTTCATTTCCATTTTCAATTTGGGAAACAAAGTGAAATCACAGGGGGCTAAGTCCGGCAAGTAAGGAAGATGGGGAATGATAACCATGTTGTTAGTCACAAACTCAGTGGTTTTCAGGGATGTGTTGGCGGGCGTGTTGTCGTGATGAAGGAGCAATGCGGCACATGTTCAGACTTTCTGGTAAGATCTGGCAAACTCCGTAACTGATCCAAACAGTGTCCGCAAGCTCATAGATTGTTCAGTGACAGTCTTTGTTGATGAGTTCTCATATTTTTTCAACGTTTTCTGTCATTTTGATGGTGCTTCATTGCACTGAATTTTTGTCATCTTCATCTGACACTCAACCAGTCTTGAAACCTGAATGCCATTCAAAAACCACTGTCCAGCTTAAAAAATGTTCTCGAAATGCCTCACAAAGCATTTCAAGGGTTCTGGTAATGGATTTACTGAGCTTCATGCAAAACTTGATGCAGACACATAGCTTGATTTTGCCATCCATCGGAGACAAAAAAAAAACGTGAAGTCAAAAAAGCACTTGTATAAAAACAATGTGTGTCCACAGCATGATGTCATGTAGCAAACTGATGTAATAGGCTTGTGGAAGTGTTACCTTGGCCTCTCCTCTTATCTTTTTCATTGAGACAGTTACAACAGTTACAGTCCGGGAACTTTCCGATACCACCTTGTAAATAGGACGGAATGAGGAAGGAAGCAGCTGTAGTCTAATTTGAGATCTTATCCTGGCATTTGCCTGGAGGGACAGATGAATATCATGAAAGGCTTCAGTCAGTATTGCTGATCTCCAGGTTGAGTTTTGGACTTTGGCCTTCCTGAATGTGAAACAGGAGTATACCCACTTGACAGTAACATTGAGTATACCATGGTAGTTTCAGTAGTTTGATGGTATAGTTCTAAACATTTTNTAATGGCGACCCTTCCTTCACTGGTAGCTTGACAACACATTCCAATCTCCGTGGTAGGATTATGTTCCTGGTTTCGCACGTCTTTTCTGTCTTCGCGATTTCTGTTTGGTTAGCATTCACCATCTCGAGCATCTCCCCATTTAGCTTAACACATTGAGTGTCATAACATATTTGTGCTTTTGCATTTCAGAAGAAATCCCTTCCTAATATCCCGTCACAAGGAATATCTATCTGCCTATTTGCTAACTGAAACTCGTGCATAATTGAACTATTCTCGAGGTTAATCTGAGCCTCTATCGCTCCATGTGTTTCTATCAGGGAACCGCTTACACTTTTTCACCCTTACTTTTCTTTCTGGATCATATTCTGTCGAACCTATCAGTTTCTCTCCCTTCAGGACACTAATGTCGGCTCCAGAGTCTATGAGCAGCAACAACTCACCTGTCTTGCTAATGTTCACTCTTAGCTTGAGGAATTGGCAATCATTCCTCCCTATGCAGCATACTGAGTAGACTGGACTGTTGGTCGGCTGCCATTTCCCTGATGGTCCTGATTCCTTTCCCGAACTGTTACTCCCTGATTTCCCTTTATTACTGGTCTATCTGCCTTTTTCCTAGGCTTTGTACATTCCCGAGCTATGTGACCCTTTTCCAAACAGTTGTAACATACAATATCCCGACTGGGCCCTCGACTTTTGTGCCTTGCAGAAAAATGATTCACCCTTGTGTCCTTCCTGCCCTTAAGAAAGCACCTGCTTGTCACATGATTGTTCCTGCCACAATTACTGCATTTCAAATTATCCAAACCCATGTTTGGATATTTGTACCTCTCAGTCTTTGAAATTATAGCACTTTCCTCTTCCAAGGCTGTGTCGGCTATTTCATTGAAATTGTCGTGATTTCGACTCCATACAATTGTTTGTATTCTGTCTGAATACAGACTGCACAAATTAAATATTTCTTAACCCATCTGAGAGAGTTAAGATTCCGGCTCTCTCCTCTTGCTCGCAATCTTGCAAAACAGCTTCTCTAAATTTGGATCCAAGTTTCTGAATGTGCTGGATCCAATCAGACACACTCTTCCCCTTAGTTTGCTTGGTACTGAACAATTGATTAGCATTGTAATCTAGCGTTCTTTCCTAGTATACCTGTTCTTTAGAAACTCCCTTAATTCTCCCAAATTTTCCAAATTTCTGTGAGAAATTGTGGTTCTTGTCTCTCCGCTAATTCTCGCTAAACGAAACTTATACAAAGTGGTTGAGTTCCTAGGGTCAGTAACTTCAAATGCTGTGTCTACATTCGCTATAAAAGCAAAAACTTTCCTTCTTTGACCCTTGAAAGGAGTTATAAGCTTTAAAGCTTCACTGATTGCGACATATTCTGTCATAATGGCAGTACTACTATCTGCATTTACAACCTCAGTATCTAAATTTGGATACAGGTTAGGCATGGATTGAGCAAGCACTCACCCTTTCTGAAGTTCTCTGTACGCCTGCCGCGTAGATCGCTTGCAGCACGTTTGAGTCTGCCGTGTAGACCAACCACAATGGTATATGGACTAGCCCACACTACGGTACGCCCGTTGCCAATTCTCCGGCCTGGATCGACCCTCAATCCCAAACTGCCGCTACTGCATCCATGGGATGTAGAATCTTGACTGGAAGTTCCACAGTTCCCGCTGGCAGTTTCCCTGTTGGGATTCCTTCAGCTTTTCACACTCTTATCTTAGCACAGTTACAATTCCGTTTTCCAATACTTCACACACACACATGTGACATTGATGTGTTGGTACTGTTGCCAGTCTGCTGTTCAGGCACGTGCGCACACACACACACACACACACACACCACAACAACAACAACAACAACAACCCCACTTCTGACACCAGTGTTGTATCCCAGTATTTCAGGGATACTCAGGTTCGCCGAGTGGTGAGGAATTTGATGTATGGGGTTGGGATTCGGTGGAGAGACAACAGCAAGCAATTGGATTTAACAGTGCTATATTGTTAGAATAAGAGATGCTTGATGAAGTACATAGGCAGGCACTTTAAATATTCCCTACAAGGGGTGAGGCCGCAGTCCTGCTCATCTAACCCTTGTGACAACTGGAATCCAACTCTCCGTGACTTGCCTTCACCTCCAAGCTGCAGCCTGCCTTGTACCCCAGTCAGTCTGGGTTCTGCCCTTCACACGTGTGGAAGGGGAGGAGACCGCACACATATCTGTTTAGTCTACACATTGGTTGCGAGCTGGTCCACAGCTTGGAAAGAATATTTAAGGTGCCCAAGAAATACAAAATACAGTACACAATTATAAAAGTACTCACACTTCCACATATGCAATACTGTACTACTCTTAGTAGTCAGTGTTGTGAGGTGCTTGATTTGTGTTATGTATTCAAATTTCTATAGTTTCAGGAGGGAACTCTGTAAGCTGACCCTTCAGGCAGATACAATTTGTAAAGTGGTTCCTCATCGAATTTGCTCCATGGCTGTGCATCCGGCAGAGAATAATCTGCTTCTGGCTGTTGGAGATAAGTGGGGTAACCTTGGTATGTGCCAACACTGTCAATAGCTGAGGCTGTATAATCTAAAATGGTAGGATGATTTAATGAATATACAGGGTGCTATTGGAAAGTTCCAAGACTAGATCAAGAAAGAAATACTGACTAAACTTACTCAATTTTGGCTGCCGTCTCACTCAAAATAGTTTCCTTGGGAATGTATACAGTGATCCCATCTTTTTTTTTTCATTCTTCAAGAGCACCATGGAAATCATTCTCCTTAATGCTGTTGAGTACCGCTTGTGAATCCCTTTGGATGGCAGGTACTGTTTCAAAATATCATCCCTTCATTTCCATTTTCAATTTGGGAAACAAAGTGAAATCACAGGGGGCTAAGTCCGGCAAGTAAGGAAGATGGGGAATGATAACCATGTTGTTAGTCACAAACTCAGTGGTTTTCAGGGATGTGTTGGCGGGCGTGTTGTCGTGATGAAGGAGCAATGCGGCACATGTTCAGACTTTCTGGTAAGATCTGGCAAACTCCGTAACTGATCCAAACAGTGTCCGCAAGCTCATAGATTGTTCAGTGACAGTCTTTGTTGATGAGTTCTCATATTTTTTCAACGTTTTCTGTCATTTTGATGGTGCTTCATTGCACTGAATTTTTGTCATCTTCATCTGACACTCAACCAGTCTTGAAACGTGAATGCCATTCAAAAACCACTGTCTAGCTTGAAAAATGTTCTTGAAATGCCTCACAAAGCATTTCAAGGGTTCTGGTAATGGATTTACTGAGCTTCATGCAAAACTTGATGCAGACACATGCTTGATTTTGCCATCCATCGGAGACAAAAAAAAACGTGAAGTCAAAAAAGCACTTGTATAAAAACAATGTGTGTCCACAGCATGATGTCATGTAGCAAACTGATGTAATAGGCTTGTGGAAGTGTTACCTTGGCCTCTCCTCTTATCTTTTTCATTGAGACAGTTACAACAGTTACAGTCCGGGAACTTTCCGATACCACCTTGTAAATAGGACGGAATGAGGAAGGAAGCAGCTGTAGTCTAATTTGAGATCTTATCCTGGCATTTGCCTGGAGGGACAGATGAATATCATGAAAGGCTTCAGTCAGTATTGCTGATCTCCAGGTTGAGTTTTGGACTTTGGCCTTCCTGAATGTGAAACAGGAGTATACCCACTTGACAGTAACATTGAGTATACCATGGTAGTTTCAGTAGTTTGATGGTATAGTTCTAAACATTTTGTTAGGTACAT